GATGGTCAGATCGGGAGAGGAGGGTCAGACGGTTTGAGGCGGGTTCATGAGGGTCAGACCGGGTCAGGAGGGTCAGACCGGGTCAGACGGGTTCAGGCGGGTTCAGGAGGGTCAGATCGGGTGAGGAGGGTCAGACGGGTTCAGGCGGGTTCAGGAGGGTCAGGCGGGGTCAGGAGGGTCAGACCGGGTCAGGAGGGTCAGACAGGTTCAGGAGGGTCAGACAGGTTCAGGAGGGTCAGACCGGGTCAGGAGGGTCAGACCGGGTCAGGAGGGTCAGACAGGTCAGACAGGTTCAGGAGGGTCAGACCGGGTCAGGAGGGTCAGACCGGGTCAGGAGGGTCAGACCGGGTCAAGAGGGTCAGACGGGTTCAGGCGGGTCAGGACCTGGTTTGCTGTTTGCCACACTTAGACTTTTCCAAACATAACCAGGTCTTTATAAAAACAAATCCACGTCTATTTAAAATTTAATATCATAAACTCTGAATCTGTTTCAGAAAAGTTTTCATCCACAGGAACTGACACAGCGTTGCTCTAACCATGCCAGCCCATAGGGGGCAGTGCAGCGCCAAGCTAAAACCTATCAGCCAATCAGATTGCTTCAAAACAACCACCACTTCCTGTTAGGAGCTAAACATGGAAGCCAGGAGCTTCAGGTGTAGATTTAATTACTTTATAATTAAAATTTAGAATATAAAGTTATTAAAACACAAGATGATGTTGATTAGGATTCGTTTATCACTGATTTTAGCAAAAAGCAAAAAAAAAAAAAAGAAAAGAAAAAAAACGACCTGCATGGTGTAAATACTTTTCACATTAAGCCAAGTTGATTTGGAGAGATTTTTTTATTCTTTTTTACAATTGTTTTCTGCATTTATCATCAATATTAGCATTTACAGAGTCAATAATCAGAATAAAAGCGCCCTGTAGGGGTGTAAATACTTTAGAGTGACTGTGTTGCTGAGCCTCCAGGTGTTGCGTGTCTGCAGGTACCTGCAGTTGATGCGGAAGCTGCAGCGGACCTACAGGATGGAGCCGGCAGGCAGCCAGGGCGTCTGGGGACTGGACGACTTCCAGTTCCTGCCCTTCATCTGGGGCAGCTCCCAGTTCATAGGTGAGCCAGACAGGAAGTGACATCAGCAGAGCAGCCTGATTGGTCAGGTTAATGTGTCTTTACCATAGAAGAAGAAAGGTCAGTTCTTCAAACTGAGAAGAAACATTATTTTTATTTTTTTAGATTATTTTGGAGTTTGGAGATAAAAACTGATGTAGTGAATGTTTGTGTCCAGTAGGGGGCAGCAGTCCCATACAATCCACTCTGATTTATATTCACCACACAGAAACAAAGTACACCCTGTGAGTACACCCCCTGACCCAGCAGGGGAGCTTCAGTCTGATCCAGTGTTTCAGTCAGGTTGAGGTCTGGACTTTGACTAGACCATTGTAGCATTGTCTTCAGTCATTCTGCTGTAGATGATGCATAAAAACACATTCTGAAATATCAATAAACTTTACATTCTAACAAACATTTAACACTGGAAACATTTTAAATATCAACAATAAACAACAAATAAAATTAATTATTAAGAATCTGCAAACAAAATTATGATTCATAAAACAGATTTAATTTAAACCAAAGCAACAGACTAAAGAGTTTAATTATCCAGTTTTTGGTAGAAAGAGAAAAACAATAAATCATACATATGGAAATTATTGATCTCATGTTAGTTTCTTATGCGATTTGTTGCGACAGGCCTCGTGTTACCCTAGAAATATTTGCAAGAACTTGAGATATTTTATTTTCTAAAATATCAAACAGACAAACAGATTTTTATTCCTAGGATTAAAACTCAACATAAATTCAGGTTGAGGCAGCAGAGTAGAGCTGCTGCCCCCTGCAGGTGGGAGTTAGCATCACTTAAAATCAATAGTTTTGACTATTTTTGCAAACTAAATTGCAAAAAGCTCATAATGCTTTTACATGAAAAATGCAGGGATTTGTTTGTTTATGTGATATTTTTCTTCTTAAGTCCTTCTAAAGCAGCCATGTTGGCTCAGTGACCTTTAACCTTTAACTGAGGTCAGTTAGCTGGTTAATATTTTAATGATTCCTCTGAGCAAAATGTTTTTAAGTCTTTCTAACTGAAACATTTTAGTTATAGGAGAAAGAAACAAAATGATGTTGTAACTTTTAACATCCAAGTATCTTCACAGTCAGTGTGATGCTGATCTCCTGTAGCAGTCACTGTTACAACGCCTCTGGAGAGGCCTCTGACTGAAAACAGTTGCTATTAGACAGTTTCATGCTAACAGTTGAATATCCAACAGCAGAGATGACTTCCAGATGAGCTCTGCTAATCCACCTCATTTGCTTTTGCCACAAAGATAAAATCATTTCTTAAATCAGAACATCGTTACTAAACTGGCCTGATCCCACAGAATCTGAACGTAGCTTGTGGCTGCATGGCGCCCCCCGGTGGTGGCTGCACGGCGCCCCCCGGTGGTGGCTAACTCTGGTCTGTCCTCAGATCATCCGACTCTGGAGCCGCGGCATTTCATCGATGAGAGAGTGGTGAACGAGCAGCACCAGGACTACATGTTCCTGGACTGCATCCAGTTCATTAACGAGGTGAGAAAATCACGCCGTCCAGTCCATCAGAACCGGTCCGACCCGACACCCACAGCTCATATTTATTCATACAGAACCAGGATTTATAAATTCAGTTTCCACATCTCCTCGGGTCCAAAACCAAAACTTTGGCTTCTTTTTAAATGAAACTCATTTAATGAATTTACAAACAATCCTCAGTATGAATATTATTGATAAATTATTAAATATGTGAAGAGAATTTCATGTTTTTAGGTTAATATACTTAAAAACTGATAAAAGCTCTGAGAACAACCAGGAGTTAAAAACAGATTCTGGTTTTTCTTTGAGTTCTTAACGTTTCTTTTAAAATAACATCATGAAACTGTTGGTTTGTTTTCCTATTTATGAGAATAAATTACAGATTTTGTGTTACTTATTACTGGTCATGTCATGACACGTGTATTCATAGCAGAACTATTGGGTCCGGTCGGTTTGGTACTGAATGAACTGCATTGTTTTCTAATGTCAAAATGTGGAACTAAGAGCAGATCAATGCAGTGTTCTGGGGGGAAACTTTAAGAAGTGACACTGTTAGACTGCTAAAACTGTTAGCCAAAAAACCGATTATGCTTTCAACTTAATATATCAGTGACAACCTGAAATTAACTTAAAACTAAATAAAGAGTCAAATAAAGAAATTAATTTAGAGTTAGTTACCCTTTTTTTCTTGTATGGAACATAATAAATCAGGATTTTTATTACTTATTTCATGTTGATGCAAAAAACCTCCAGTACCAGAAAGTTTTAGAAAGCATTTTAAATCTGGAGCTCAGTTCAAATCTGCTGAGTCACTGGTTGCCTTGGTGATTCTCGCCTGGTTGCCATGGTGATTCCCACCTTTTCCTGGAGCCAGGAACTAGACTAGGCGTCATACTAAAGAAACCAGAATCTTCTTGGTCCACAAAGTAAATGTTTCTGTAGCAGAGCTGACCGATTGAACAGAACCTGCAGGTCCAGTTTGTCCAGAACCAATTAGAGCAGAAACTAGCAGCCAATGAGAGTGGGCGTGTTTCTGATTGGTCAGAAACCAGGAAGTCACAGAAACAAAGACTGGATGGAGAAACT